AAAAACGTATTTTTTTGCAAATAGCTTGACATCAACATACTGTCTTTTAGACAATTTTTCATCAAATATATATGATACATACACCACCATTTGCGTTTATTTGGAAATTGTCTTAGGTGGATGTGCAACCCGAACCACCTGAAGAAGCTGAGACACCGGGGGCCACTGAATCGGACATGATATTGACACCAGAACAGAAAACAGCATTGGAAAATGACATAGAAGGTCTCCAAACTAGGAAAGCACATGCTGATGTAACTAAACGTTGGCCTGGTGCTATTGTGCCTTGCGAAATATCATCTACAAGTAAGATATATACATCATTTTACATGAATTACCACAGTTTTCTGTAGTACATAAGAATATAAATTACACTAATACATCTAGTAACGATGTATGGCATGCTATGCTATGTCAGTGTAGATTGATACACGCCCAATCCAGAAAGCATAATGTTTTATATTTGTTTTTTTGTAAATTGATTTAGACTGTCATGCAGTTGTTTGTGGTGATATGTGGTGATATATAATTGAGATTACGATTAATTTTTTAATTAATTCGTTCCTCTTCATGATATCATTTTTACCAGACCAATTGCTTTAAAATGCTTATGAACCTTCCTCGACTCTTTGTATGTATAAAAAAGAACATAAAAAGTTTGTTTTTCACACAGAGAATTTAGTTCTTAATGACTTACATTCATTATTAAGACAATTCAAAGTCAAATAATGGTCAAAATTGGTGTAAAATTATTTTTTGTGGATTGAACAAAAAAGTCTTTTTAATCAAAATGACCAATTTGTTTTACAGTTGTAAGTTGTGGAACATTCTCTATTGCATGATATCAAAACACTCTTGTCAACATCGACCGAAGCTGAGCATAGTAGCTCGTAGATATAGCTATACTTTGTTGTAGTGAAGTGCTTTTTTCAATTAATGCTGTCATTTAAGTATATTATAAATGCTATAATTATATTACAAGTGGATTGTCATACTATATACCATAGTATTGATTTAGTTGCATTATTCTAATCATTATTATTCAGGTCAAGGTGACACAGATGTAATTCTTAGTGCAATCCAATATTGGGAAAGCGTTTCGTGTCTAAAATTTCCTGCTTATAGCGCTTCAGCAGGTCACACATCGAGAATCCGATTTATAAAAGATGCAGGGTAAGTATTCAAATATTCCTAATTACTATATATGACAATACTACATGTGAATTTCCTTCAACATTTATAATATGTGCCACTCATCGTATTTTCAAAATTATATGTATAAAACCACTATAAACTAATGACGTATGTAGAGAATGACAAATAAATAAATAGCCAGGTAGACGTGGGTGTAGCAAGCAATATCACTTTCATTACAATTATTAATGCATTATTTGTTTACATTTCTTCAAAGATGTTGGTCATACGTGGGCCTCGCAAATCCCGGTGGGGCACAAGACATATCAATCGGAAGTGGGTGCGCATATGTAAGTGATACTTATCACATTTATCTCTTTTATTTTGTAAAGTCAGTCAGTCAGTACAAACAATGGGAACAGGAAATTGATTTGGGTAACAAATGGCCAAACAATGATCTAACATAGTTTTTCGTCAGCAATTCGTCGAATTGTAGATTTTGAGAATCAGTAGTTAAATCCCAAAACTAAGCACAGGCACGAATTAGACTAATGATTTTGCCTGGTGCCAAGTACTGACAAATGGGTTTCAAGTGCGATGTGTGGCAATATCGTTATCGGAA